CGTATAAGCTTGTGATCACTTGTTGTGCATATATCCATCTCATCAACTTTACTATTAATGATGTTATTCCTCTACTGCTCTGATACCCAAATATAATCAATATGAGTTTCTGAATTCTTATTTGACCATGTTGGCAGGTTCATTGTTTCCTGCACATCACAAAAATTTCTCTCTTCTAATGTTGATATAATTCTTTGCTTTAAATTTGTCCTAAACTATAGCTCTGTGTGACCTGCAGCCTTGCTTAGATACTTATCTGTACTAATATTAAGGTCACCTAGTACGATAAAGTGTTGTGGTTTCTTTTTGTGCTACTCTATATTATTCCTCAGCCTTTCTAATATCTCTGCCTGTATATCTTTGTTGCTTGGAGCGATGTATACAAAGATGATATGTATAGTAAGCCCTTTGAAGTCTAGGCTGATACTTAGAAAATATGGGCTGGTTTTGTTTATTTGTGTGATGTGTCTTTCCCAGGACTCTTTTATCAAAACACCAATGCCTAACCCCTTCTTTTTGTTAATCTCTGCATCAGCTCATATGCTTTTGTAGGAGTCTTTTTCTTTAATTGTGAACAGGCCCTCTTTACTACCAATATTAGTTTCTCTGATTCCTAAAATGTCTATGTTTTTCTCTTTTGCATACTCTATAATTGCTTTCAGCTTATTCTTATTGTCCTTCAAACCATTTATATTGTAAAACCCTATATTTAGAACCCCAAAATATTCATAAGTGTTTTTTTTCTCTTCTTTAGACTTAATATGAATCTTTCCCCATTCATTTCTACTATGCTCCTTCTCTTTTCCTTTTCGTGACCATGGGAGTTGGTTATTATCATCCAAAGTGTCTTCTATTATCTCCTTTTTGTTTCTTTTAAACACCCCGGCTTCATTTATTGATTCACCCTTGACACCCCTAGGAGCGATTCGCAAGGAAAGCCCCTGCGGTTCCATTGTACATTCTTGAATTTTGGGTTTCGAGCCTGTCTAGCCTGTTGAGGATTTGTTCTAAAGTGGTGAATATTGAATTTTCCCTTTCTTTCCCTTTTGTATTTTTCTCAAAATGCTTATTTTCCTCTTGTTGATCATGTGGTGTAAGTTTTCTTTATTTTGGTTCTTTGCTGTTAGGGGTTGTCAAGGCATGTTGAACCTAGCCTTCATACTGCTTTTATTTTGTCCCAAATCTTCTTTATCTCTAGTTCTCTCCCTTTTTCTTCCTGCTCTTGGAACTGTTTCCTCTTCTTCTCTTTTAGATTCTTTTAACTTCAGACCATTAGCAATTTCTTCTTGAGCAGATTTGTTTGGTCTCCTGTCTTGAGATCGCTCTGGCTTTTTGTGATGCTGGTTCCTTGTAAAAACCCTTTTAGAGTGTACTTGTGTTGGTGTTTGCCACTCTAGCTTTTTGTCATAATAAAATATATTTGATCCAAGAGCCTGAATCATGTTCTCTTCTCTTTTAAAGTAGACAAAAGCTCTTCCACTTTGATGTCCGTTATTATTATTTATTGTGTACGCTGCTTGTGCTCTGTGTCTTCTTAGTTGGCATAATAGTAAACTGTCTAAGGCTGTTTTAGGCATCTTGTTGATAGTGCACCTAAACCTATCTCTTTCATTGAGTATAGCTTTGTTGAATTTACCAGAAGTTATTCTATATATTTTTTTCTTGGCCTAATTGTACTGACCATTGTCCACTCAGTGGGTGGGTTTCTTTTCTTGTATTGTATGCTGTGCTTACATAGAATGCTCTTCTCCCTCTTTGGCCCTGTTGCTATTCTATGATGTTTGTTGTACCATAGTGCTCAAGATATAGCTTGATCTCAGCTCCACTTGTGTGTTTTGGGACGTCCCATATTGTGAAATAGTAATATCATTTATTCACATGCTGTCATGCAGCAAAACTTCCTCTTGGAGCCCATACTGAACTATAAATATCTTCTCGGCTTTTGTGTTTTTTGCTATATCTTTTGTTTTGATACCTTTCTCGCTCTGATACCTTTTCAATGATCTGTATCTCTAGGCCATAGTCTGTCATGTCCACCTCATTTTCTAACAAGACAGCCTTTATTTCTTTGGCATCATTTTCCGTTATAACACTATTGCTTTCTTGTTTCTTGAGTAATCTTTTGCGTGGGTTTTCTTTGTTTTCTGCTACAACATTGTTACCACTATTGTTAACACCAATATTTGTAGCTAGTACATTGCTTATCTTATTTGCAATAGTGTAGCAGAAATCCATCATTATTGGGCCATTTTTGCCTTTTACGCATGTATTTAGATGCATTTCGATATCTGTGTCATGCCCGAGAAGTTTTTTCTCCTCTTCAGATAAAGGCTTGTCTCTAGCTTCTTTGCTTTCAGCCCATTTGAAGTATTCGATTATATTGCATACAACTACAATTAGGTGAATGTCATTTGTGTCAAGGTACTCTGCTACGTGTATATTCTTATGTCGTATTGTTGCATGCTGTTTGTTATATAAGATACTTCTTTCTCTCTCTGTTGTTTGAAAAAGCCTCTGAAATCCTCTAAATTTGCCATTTTGCACCAATTCTATGAACCCTTCTGTTTTTCCACATGATACTATATGAGATATCGATACACGTGAAAATTATTGTTTGTATAATGCCAGATATTAATCGGTCACACTATTTACTTTTTTGGTAGCTTGACATGTTACGTGTTTGTTTGTTGTTACAGTGATCTGTGTTACAGAGTCAAGACCGATTCCCCAAAACTTCTGTTTTTCTAAAATTTCCTTATGAAAGTTGTCTATTTGGTTTCTATCACTCTTGTTGTAAAATTAGACCAGATGTGTTTCTAAGCACCTCTAGGTAGATTCTTGTGCTGTTTTTTTTTGCTTAAGCCTTTGAATCTTGCTAGCTAGTGGACTTGTTGTTGTTTTTGTATATTTTCTTTAGCTCAAAAATTGGTACGAGGATCTACAGGAGAGAGTGATGATTAATTTTATCATTATTGTTATTATTATTATTATTATTATTATTATTATTTTTATTATTATTTTTATTATTTTTATTATTTACATTATTTACTCTACTTAGTCTTAATTAGACCAAGTAGAATTTTATTTGTTTAAATCATCATGAAACAATTACAAAATAATCTCAAACTTTTAATCCATTCTGGGCCAGAACCATATAATTTTTATATAGTAAATATCACAATAAAGAATCAAACATTATTGGTCTGTAGAACTCTTTGTTCCAAAAATCAGGTAAATTATTCTGATTCTCATTCATATTTTCGTTTGACAACTGTGCTACCATTATTTTTTTGTGATCAATGCAATCATTTTCGAAAGACAAAATTCTGTAAAAAATATAATTATCATCTATATGATGAACAAGATTTTGAATCTGAATCAGAAACAACAACACCATCATCTATCATGATAATATCAAATAATTCACCTAAACAATTGAAAGAAATTTCAACTCAGATTTAGCAAAAAGGAATATTTGATCATGTTATTAAAAAATATTCTCATGATAATGTTAAAAAATTTCTAGGCAAAAATATATTACATCTCAGTCTGGTGTAGTGAGAAAAGCTAAAATTTTTTGGTCAGATAATGATATGGATGATAATTTTTAATTTTTTTATTATAATATTTATTTTATTATTTTATTTTAAATATATTTTTTCTATTATTATTTTAAATATTTCTGCTTAGTATAAATACCAAGCAGAAATTTATTTGTATAATTTTCATTTTTGATAATAGAAGACAAATATAATTTATATGTTAGTAATTATACTTTTATATGTGATCTTGAAGAAAAATATCTCTCAGCTTTAGCTTAACTTAAACTATTACAACAATACGGTATTCTAATTGCTGAAACTAAGAATGCTATTGAGGCTCAGCTTGTTGTTCAGTCAAATTTAAAAAAGAATCAAAAGGAGATACTCTTCAAATATGAGAATGAATGTCATGAATTTTCATTAGTTGTTCCAATATCAAAAGATAAACAAGTTCTTATTAGTTGTAAAAATAATCCATCAAAAGATTATTTTAATTATTATCATGTTTCAACTAGGTATAAAGAGCAAGGCAAGAATTTTGAAAAGTGTGCTATACATGAAGCAAAAGAAGAGACTGATTTAGTAATACATAATTTATATTTTGTTGGGTTGCATAAAGGATTTTGAGTTTTTTCAGACAACAAGAAATGTATGTTTAAGTGTGCGGTTTATTATGCCTTTATTGAAGACCAAATTTTAAAAAAAAACAGAGCCAAATAAGAATGATGGGTGGTTTTTTGTTGATCTTAAAGATTTAACTAAATATAAATTAACTGATTCTTTGGTCCTATATTTACCAACAATAACTGAGCTTGTTAACAAAAAGTTCAGAAATATGAATCGTAGCAAGAAACGTAAAATAGAATTAGTAATACCAGAAAAAATTTTAGATATTAAAACCAAGATTGGTAGTCAACCTATTATGCCAAATGAAATTACTTTTCCATCATCTTCTAGTCCAGAAAATTAGATTATTATTATATTATTATTTTTATTATTTATATGTTATCATTTATATTTTTTAATAAATTTATTAAATTATTTACTTAATATATTTATTATACCAAGTAAAATTTTATTTACATAATCATGTTTGATTGGCAAAGTAAATTTAAAAGTTTTATTCTAGTCACTCAATGGCACAAATACAAAAATCTCGAAAACCTATATCTCAAGTTAAATTTTTTTCACATTGTAAAAATTAATTATCACCTTTATCTTGAAGTCCAAACCCAAAAATTACAATTCACATTTTTTACAGATTTGAAACACCTAAATCTTATTAAAAATTATACATGGTATTTATTTATTTTTTTTTTTTCAGTATTAAGGTGATCTCCTTGGCCTGGGGACTTTTTATTAATAATTATTAGTTATTATAGTTACAATAAAGATACAACTAGCCACACGTGCACCTTTTGGGTGCCTATTTAAGTAGTC